GTAACTGCATCCTGATCCCATCCCCTGCTGGCTGCCGGGCTCTAGGCATTGCCAGTAAAGGGAAGGAGGAAAAGAAGACCTCCCATCTGGAGCAGCATCTAGGGAGGGTCAGTGCTCCCCCACTATGGGCAGGCCAGCCCCAAATCCACAGGGATTGGCCTGTCCCACTTCCTACCACTTTAGAGCCTTGGCTCATATGGTCCCTTCATTGCTTGTTCCCTAAGCAAGATGCAGCCCACAAGTTTTCCCCCACACCCCACTCCCCAGGAAGTCTTCAAAGCAGCAGGAGGACCAGCACAGGCCTTGGGATCTGCATCCCCAGTCTGTCACTTGGTAGCACTGAGACCATTGGCAGTCATTTTCCCTCTCAGAGCCTTTTTCATCTTCTGTAAAATAGGAATCCTAATTCTTTTCTTCACATTTGCCATGCAGATAAAATAATGTGTGGAAAATGCCTGCCACAGGGAAGGTGAGCAGTAAGTGCGAGTTTATTTTTATTCTACTCAGCCACCCCCAAGCAGAAGGGATCTCTCTCCCACCCTCCCCCAGCACTTCCTCTGTTCTCCAGTCCTGATAAATTTCCGCTTTGGACTGTGGTTATTTGTGTAATATCTTGTTTCCCCCTCTGCAAAGGATGCTCTCATTTCCCCCAAAGAATAGCCAAGCAGACAGTGCACATGAGTATTTGTGCATGTGTGGCAAACACACGTGTGTGCATGTATTCATGTCTAGCTCCAGGTGGCTGGGGTTGTGTGCTTTTGTTTCTTGGTGTGTGTGTGTGTGTGTGTGTGTGTGTGTGTGTGTGTGTGTGTGTGTGTGTGTGTGTGTGTGTGTGTGTGTGTGTGTGTGTGTGTGTGTGTGTGTGTGTGTGTATGCTTTTGGCTGGGAGGAATTCATAAAAAGAAGGGTCTCCTAGGCCCTTTCTGAAGTCCAGGAATCCAGAGAAGAAATTGTCATTTGTTCAGTCCCTGGCACAAATGAAAAACTGAAGTACAGAGAGGAAACATAATATACCCAGGCTCACATTCAATGACAGCCAGGACTGAAACCCAGGTCCACTTAATTCTTACTCTTCAGAGTGTGTGTATGTATGTGCACACACGTGTGCATACATGTATGTGCACACACAACAGACTGATTGATGATTGATTTCTACATGATCAGCACATTCCCAAGTGTTTTGAGAAACTCGGACTCCATACTCCATAGCTCCTGTTTCTTCAGTAGTATGATATTAGAAGCAATCCCTTGGGCAGATCCTTGTTTTTGTCAGGCCATTCCTTGTGAAGCTGTGCCAATAGGGCACGTTCCTGCCACTGCTTCCTTTGCAACCAAAATGAGGCGGAATTGCCAAAGAGAAGAGAGCCAAGGGCAGAAATAAGAGAGGTTATATGATAGCATGAAGAGACAGCCAGGGCTCTGTGCTTGCATCCTGACTTCTTCACTTAATAGCTATGTGACTTGATGTAATTTTACATCACTTTTGAATGCCTCAGTGTTCCCATCTATAAAATGGGGCTGATGGTGCCTTCCTCAATGAGTTGCAAGAATTCAGTGAGTCTATTGATGCCCTTGCTTTAGGGACAGAAGTGACTGCAGAGTCCTACAGCATCATAGAAGGCCTGTAAGCCAGCTTGGGTGGGAGAGATAATGGTATGGAAGGGCACACCTGAGCTAGATACTTGAAGGGCAGGCAGGTGGTAGCCAGATGGGGATAATGGGGCTAGAGTCAGGTCAGGAAAGCCCCTCGCGGCTATGGTGAAGAAACTGTAGGCTATACTATTGATGATGATTCCTTTGAAACACTTCCCTCCTATAGTTATCTCTAAGAGCAGAAGTCAGGGTCTTTATCATAGGCTCAGTGTCCTTCACAACTTGTCCCCCATTACCTTTGATCTTATGACCTATCAGTCTCCCTTGTTTGTTCTGGCTACATTGACCTCTTCACTATTCTTTAAACATGGCAGGTACAATTCTCTCTCAGGACTTTTATACTTATTGTATACACTGGACTGCTCTTGCCTTAGACAGCCACACAACTCACTCCTTCACTTCCATCAGTGCTTTGCTTAAATGTCATTTCCTCTAAAAGGCCTTCCCTGACCATCCCACCGGAAACAGCACCTTTTTTTTTTTTTCAGGTAAGGGGTAGGTTTATTCAGTAGACCTGCTGGGACCAGGCAAGGTTGGCACTCCACATGGCTGAGAAAGGCCTGGGAATGAGAGAGAGCTGGGAAAGAGAGGAAAGAGCTAGAAAAGAGCAGAGAGAGGGGTAAGAACAGTAGCACTCATGTGGTATTCAGCACCTTTTTAACACTTTAACTTTCCTTCCTGGCACTTACCCTCTATCTGAAAGGATAGCTCTGTTTTCTTGCCTTATCATCTGTTTCCCCCAACAACACTATCAGAGCCCTGAGGGAACATGCTTATCCATCTTGTTTGTTGTTGTCTTTCTAGTGCCTAGCACTGTGTCTGGTATAGAAAGTGTTGCAGTTATTGTTTGTCAAGTGGATTCCCGGCAGCTGTGGAAAGGTTTTCAGGGAGACAGTGAGATAGTTAGATTTGTATTTCTGAATGCTCTTTCTGGTCACAGGATGGAGAACAGATTGGAAAAGGAGACTGGAGGCTGTAGCACAAGTTTGGGTGAGAGTTTTATTAGAGCAGCCACCCAAGAACATTCACCCACTTGCTCATACCAGAAACTTTTGTTGAGTAACTAACTCTGGTCCACACCCCAGGCTCTGAGAAGCTAGAAGATTCCCAAATTCTCTTTTCTGGGCTGGGATGCTGGAAATCATGCACACAAATAACTGGCATGCTTTGCCAAAGCTAATCTATGCCATAAAAAGCAGGGCAGCCATGTGCCGTGTGTGGGAGCTCTGAACAGGTTCTGCAGTAATTTCTGGCTAGTGGAAGAATTCAGGAGGGCTTCTGAGTAGTGGTGTTATGACATAAATTTTAACGGAAATAGGATGTGGGGTGGGTCATCAGATTGCAGATGACAGTGATGAGGGGATTGCTCTGCAGGTGGGAGGTAGTATATGAGCAGGTTTGGAGGTGGAAGCTAAGAATATTTGGGAAAAACAGAGTGCATGGGATAGGGAGCTGATGGCTTAGGGTTGGAAAAAGTGTGGGCTCTGGAAGCAGACTGCTTAGATTGGAGTCCTGGCTGGATCATTGGTGGTTGTGTGACCACTAATATGTTACTTAACCTGCCTGGGCCTTGTAAAGGTAAAATAACAAAAGCTACCTCATAGAGTTGTTTGGAAGAGCAACTATATCCTTAGGTGTGAAGAGTGGTAAGCATTGCTCATTTTAACTTGGAGGAGGACTTCAATACCAGAGTAAGGAGTTCAGGTTATCTCTTGTAGGAGACAGTTGATCAAAACTGGGGCTTGAGTTTTTTTTCTAAAAGGAGCTAGATTTAAGAGGTTGGTGGATAGGATCCAGCAGTCCTGAGGGAAAGGAGAAGAATGTTTTCTATCTAGGGGTGTGCTGAGCTGGGTGTGACTGGTGGAAGGAGGGAATTGGGAGTATTATTTCTGCTTTGTCCTGGGCAGTGTTGCAAACTAGCATGTGGGAGGGTGGAGGAAGAGCAGTGGGTGGGTGTTCCTACCAGGATGGAGCTCAACTCCACTTCAGTCCAGGCCTACGCCATGGCTGCAGCCTCCTCCCCCACCACCCATGGCCCCTAGAACAGAGTACTTTTGCTGCCAGTGCTGGCAGGCCCATGCCGTGCAAGCTCCTTTGTGAATAGGGAACCCACCTCCACTGCCCCAACTTGCCTCTGACCTGTGTCCTGGCTTCTACCAAGGAGGGGCTGAGGAGTGGCCTCCTCTACCTTTTCACCAGCCAAGAGTCAACTTGGTATCCCCTCAAGCTTAGACCAGTTTTTGAGTCCCAGCCCCACTCATCCACCACTCCCCATCTCTCCTCCATGCCCCACCTGTCTGCTCCTCCTCTCCTGGGTTTCCCCTACCTCTGCAGCTCCTCACCATGCCTGATCTGCCCAAGGCGCCTGGGCTCTGTCGCCACCTGGGTTCCCTGGCAGCATGGTTGCCATGGCACCGTGGGAGCAGGTCTGGCAGAACAACAGCTCTGGGTAACCAGGGCAGGCAAGACCCAGGGCCCAGCTCCTGCCACCCTTCGGTTCGAGACCCCCTGCCCTCCTCCCTCAGCTGAGCAGAGGAGGCCATGAGGAGGAAAAGGAAGCTGCCTCGCAGGGCAGCTCTTTACCTGTGAGGATGCTGGATGGGAGGCGCCTCCCACTGTCGCTGAGCCTGCGCCCTCGCCCTGCCCTCGCAGCAGCAGCAGCAGCAACAGCAACAGCAGCAGCAGCAGCAGCAGCAGAGGCGGCAGCAGCAGCAGCAGCCTGGGAACTCTGGGAACTGGCCAGGCCCGGACTCCAGGCTGCTAAGGGCAGGGGCGGGCTTGCAGGGGCAGGGCTGGGTGGAAGGAGGGGAAGCTGGGTGGGCAGGGTGCAGAGGTGCAGGCACCAGGAGACAGGGCTGGAAGAGGGTGGCATTTCAAGAGAAATTGCCTGGGCTGGTGCTGGGGCTGGCACTGGGAGGGAAATAACTGCGCACAGCATTGGAGACAGGGCTGGGAGTGGGGTCCTGGGTAGTCTTTGTGGGGAGGGGGGCAAGGTTTGAAGCTGGAACTGTTAGGGGGAAAGGAATGGGAGGAGATTGGGCTGGGGGTAAGGGTAGGGACAATACTGAGAAGACAGCCTTGAGGGAAAGGTGCTTGGGGATGATGCTCTAAGAGGGCTGGGAGGGAATGAGGAGAGGGCTGTGGAAGCAAGGGGGCGTGAAGGGAAGAGACCATGTGCGCAATGAGGAGACAGTTCAAGGGCCTCTAAGTGTAGGAGTCTCTAGATCTATGAGGAAGCATGGGAAGATGGAATGGGGGTCAGGGGTCTGGTCCATTCACTCTCATTCAGGCCCAGCAGGCTTCTCTCCTGTTGCCACATCCTGGTTCATCTTATCTCATCCCCACAGTGTGGAGGGTGATGCCCCAGGCAGTGACCTGAGCACAGCGGTTGATAGTCCTGGGAGCCACCCCCCCTACCGACTGAGCCAGCTGCCCCCCACCAGCAGCCACATGGGGGGCCCCCCTGCTGGGGTGGGCCTTCCCTGGGCTCAGCGAGCGCGCCTCCAACCAGCCAGTGTGGCCCTGAGGAAGCAGGAGGAAGAGGAGATAAAACGTTCCAAGGCTTTGTCGGACAGCTACGAACTCTCCACGGATCTGCAGGATAAGAAGGTGCTGGGAGCCACAACTCTATGGTTGTGGATGGGGGAGGGGCACAAGAGAGAGAGAGCTGAGGGAGGGATTAAGATGGTTTGTGGGTGGTCTCCAGGGAAGGAGAGTGAAGCTGAAATTGGATAAGATTGCTCCAAGGAACCTGGTTCTCACCCTACAGGGGATGCATTCACCACCCAGTAGCCTGTAAATCTTGGATTCGCTCAGGAAACATTGTGCTCAATGTCTTAGATACGGATCCTAGATATGGAAAGAGGAGTGAGACTTGCAGCCAGTTTTCAAAGCGACACAATCTAAGGGGGGAGGGAGAAGTACACACATCAGTTGACAACTTCACAATGCTGATGCAATCTCACAATTAAGCTAAAACAAGTGGAGAAGGGGAAGGACAAAACACTACATTCAGGAAACAAGAAACTGTTAAGATATAATACCAAAATGTTAATTATGAGCATGCCTCAGTATTTGGGCTTCAGGTGAACTAGCCTGTCTTCCTTCTTCCCTTCCTTCTTCCCTTCCTTCCTTCCTTCCTTTCTTCCTTCCTTCCTTCCTTCCTTCCTTCCTTCCTTCCTTCTTTCCTTCTGTCCTTCCTTTCTTGCTTCCTTCCTTCTTCCCTTCCTTTACCTTCCTTCCTTCTTCCCTTCCTTCCTTCCTTCCTTCCTTCCTTCCTTCCTTCCTTCCTTCCTTCCTTCCTTCCTTCCTCCCTTCCTCCCTCCCTCCCTCCCTTTTTTCTTTCTCCTTTCCTCCCTCCTACTCTCCCTCTTATTTTCTCTCTTCTTTTCTGCAACTTCTTGTTCTCCATTTTACTTCTACCTTTCTTGCTTTTTTGGCTTCTTTCTTTTTTTTTCTATTTCTGAATAATCAAAGTATACTTCTTATAAATTAAAAATCAACAACAAACAAACAGAAAACCAAGTTCCGTCCCATGTAGCCAGCACTATCTGAAGAGCCTGGCTCTTTGGGGTAGCTGACAACAGTTAACTATGACTCGAGTCGGGGTGTGGATGAGGGTCCAGGACAGTGATGCTCTGGCAGCTTCCTGAACTTGTTCCCTTCAACCATCTCCTGATAGGTAGAAATGCTGGAGAGGAAGTATGGGGGCTCCTTTCTGAGTCGCAGGGCTGCCAGGACCATCCAGACAGCCTTCCGCCAGTACCGCATGAATAAGAACTTTGAGCGACTGCGCAGCTCAGCTTCAGAGAGCCGCATGTCCCGTCGCATCATCCTGTCCAACATGCGAATGCAGTTCTCCTTTGAGGAATATGAGAAGGCACAGAACCCTGCGTACTTCGAGGGCAAGCCTGCCTCGCTGGACGAGGGTGCCATGGCTGGGGCCCGGAGTCACCGGCTTGAACGGGGACTCCCCTATGGAGGCTCCTGTGGTGGGGGCATCGATGGAGGTGGAAGCTCTGTCACCACATCTGGAGAGTTTTCTAATGACATCACAGAGCTCGAGGACTCCTTCTCCAAACAGGTCAGGATCCCTGCAAAAGAGCCTTTCTTCCCCATTCCCAGCCTCTATCTGCTCCTATTGCTTTTTTTAACCTATATTCCAAGCTGAAAAAAAAGTTTTACTATGAGCATTTAATAGCAACAAATAGTTGAGATGATGATAATGATGAGAGAGAATTGGCAAGACAAAAAAATGTTACAGCAAGCCAGGTGCTGGTGCCTCACGCCTGTAATCCCAGCCACTCCGGAGACTGAGTTCTGAAAATCACAGTTCAAAGCCAGCCCAGGCAGGAAAGTCAATGAGATTCTTATCTCCAATTAACACCAAAAAAACCCCTCAGAAGTGGAGATGTGGTTAGTGGTAACATGCTAACCTTGAGCACAAAACTCTGGAACAGTGGTCAGGCCCTGAATACAAGGCCCAGGACCAGCATGTATATATATATATATATATATATATATATATATATATAAAATTACAACTAGGCATAGTGATGCATGCCTATTATCACAATTTGGGATGCCAAGGCATGAGGATTGCAAGTTTAAGGCAAGGCTGGACCACAAAGAGAAATCCTGTCTCAAGCCAGATGCTGGTAGCTTATGCCTGTAGTTCTTGATACTCAAGGCTAAGATCTAAGGATCCCAGTTTGAAACCAGCATAGGTAGAAAAGTGAGGAGACTTTGATTTTCAGTTAACCAGCACATAGCCAAACGTAGAGCTGTGGTCCAAGTGGCAGAATGCCAGCCTTGAGTGAAAAAAAAAATAAGGGATAATGTCCAACCTTGTGTTAAAGCACACAATAAAATCTTGTCTCAAAAAACAAAGGGTAGCCGGCGCTGGTTGGTGGCTCACGCCTGTAATCCTAGCTACTCAGGAGGCTGAGATCTGAGAATCGCGGTTCAAAGCCAGCCCGGGCAGGAGAGACCGTGAGACTCCTATCTCCAATAAACCACCAGAAAACCGGAAGTGGCGCTGTAGCTCAAGTGGTAGAGCGCTCGCCTTGAGCTGAAGAGCTGAGGGACAGCGCCCAGGCCCAGAGTTCAAGCCCCACGACCGACAAAAAAAAAAACAAAAAAAAAAAAACAAAGGGTAGAGGCTGGGAAGGTGGCTCAGTGGTAGAGTGCTTGCCTTGCATGCCTGAGGCCCTGGGTTCGATTCCTCAGCACCACATAAGCCAAAAGAAAAAAGCCAGAAGTGGCGCTGTGACTCAAGTGGTAGAGCGCTAGCCTTGAGCTGAAGAGCTGAGGGACAGCACCCAGGCCCAGAGTTCAGGCCCCACGACCAGACCCAAAAAAAAAAAAAAAAAAGCCCCAAAAAACAAAGGGTTGGCTGGGCGCTAGTGGCTCACGCCTATAATCCTAGCTAGTCAGGAGGCTGAGTTCTGAAGATCACGGTTCAAAACCAGCCCAGGCAGGAAAGTCTGTGACTCTTATCTCCAATTCACCACCAGAAAAAAACCCAAAAGTGGTGCTGTGGCTCATGTGGTAGAGCACTCACCTTGAGTTGAAGAGCTCAGGGATAGCACCCAGGGCCCACGACCAACGACAACAAAAAAAAAGGGTTGGGTATGTAGCTCAGTAGCTTAGTAGCTTGGTGTTGAGTTTGGTCCCAGCAACACACACACACACACACATCATTACCACCAACAGCAACAACAACATAACAACAACAAAAAACACTAAAAAGCAATTGTATTGTTAAAACAATCAGGTTAAAATATGCATATATAGAAAAAATAAGAAAATAAAAATTCTCATTGTTTCAAACTTGATCTACTATCAAATAAAGGCTTACCTAAGCTGAGCATGATGGCACACATCTATAAGCCCAGTACTGGGGAATATGAGGCAGGAGGATCAAGAGTTCCAGGCCATCCTGGATGTCATAGTAAGAAGCTGAAAAAAATAATAAAAGATTAAAAAATAAACTAAACCTAGAGGTTGTCAGCTGCTATGCATGCTTTACAATAGACCTATAAGGGGCTAAAGGAGAATCTTAAAATGATTAAACACTTGTCTTTCAAGCACAAAGCCCTGAGTTCAAGCCCTAGTACTGCCAAAAGAGAAAAAGAGAGAAAAAACAGGCCTGAGAAGTAGAGATTCTTATCTCCATTTATAGAGGTGGAAACCGAGTCTAAGGTACTGGCTCTGGTCTGTGTTCTCAAGAATCTCTCCGTCTAGTAGGAAACCACATATGAGGTGTGCATTACTGACTCCTGAAATAGACTGTGCTCAGAGTCATGAGAAAGGATTATGAGAAAACTAGAGAAAGTTCTTGGAACTTTCCATTGGAACTGGAAAGGTCCATTGGAACTGGACCTTACCAGACTGAGAAGATTAAAAAGAGGTAGGGAGGGCATCACTTGAGTAGGTATTAGCAAAAATGGAATATAATGAGAATATAAGTGACAGTGAGGGAGTAGGATGATAATCCCAGTTCTGCCATTTTCCCAGCTGTGTGACCTTATATGATCAGCAAAATGAAGAGAAAGCCTTATTTTAAGAGTTTGCTTTTAGCCAGGCTTCAGTGGCTCATGCCTGTAATCCTACTACTCAGGAGACTGAGATCTGAGGATAGCAGGCAGGAAAGTCTGTGAGACTCTTCTCTCCAATTAACCACTAGAAAACCAGAAGTGGTGCTGTGGCTCAAGTTGCAAGGCTCTAGCTGTGAGCAGAATCTCCAAACAACAGTGCAAGGCCCTGAGTTCAAGTCCCCAGTATAGTATACACACACACACACACACACACACACACATACACACACACACACACACACATACACACACAAACACACATGTGCACCCATACACACACACAAAGGAAAGAAATATTGAAGAGAAAAACCAGTATCATTCATCTGTTCACTCATACAACAGATGTAAGTAAATATCTCTTCTGTATCAAGCAGTACATTTTGCTGAGCTTTAGAGAACCTGAGCTGGGTGCCAGTGGCTCACCCTATAATCCTAGCTACTCAAGAGGCTGAGATCTGAGAATTGACTAGCAAAAAATCCAGAAGTAGAGCTGTGGCTCCAGAAGGAAAAAAAATAAGGGGCAGCACCTAGGCCCTGACAAGTCCCAGTACTAGAACGAAAATAAATGAGAGAGAACCTGGACCTGCACCCATTCATTGAGGGAAGAATAAGGAATAAGTAGTTGCCATCTGGTGGGAGAAAGAAAGGAACCAGGCCTGCTGTCAGATCTCAATGCTTATACAGATCTGATGGGATAGTGTACTAGTTGTCTATTGTAAAACAAACCCTCAAATTTAATAGCTTATCCTTTGAGCTGGACACTAGTGGCTCATGCTTGTAATCCTAGCTACTCAGGAAGCTGAGATCTGAGGATCGTGATTTAAAGGCAGCCTGGACAGGAAAGACTATAAGACTCCTATCTCCAGTCAATCACCAAAAATAGTGCTGTGGCTCAAGTGGTAGAACTTCAGCTTTAAGCAAAAAATAAGGCTCATGGGGCTGGGAAGGTGGCTCAGTGGTAGAGCGCTTGCCTTGCATGCTCAAGGCCCTGGGTTCGATTCCTCAGCACCACATAAGCAAAAAGAAAAAAGCCGGAAGTGGTGCTGTGACTCAAGTGGTAGAGCACTAGCCTTGAGCTGAAGAGCTGAGGGACAGTGCCCAGGCCCAGAGTTCAGGCCCCACGACCGGACCCCCCCAAAAAAAAAAATAAGGCTCATGGATAGTACCTAGGCCCTAAGTCCAAGCCCCAGTAGCAGCACACACACACATTAAAAAATAAAAAGAAAACTCACCCTCAACATGGAGCTTAAACAACAAACATGTATTATGTTCTGTAGTTTTTAAAGGCTCAGAAGCTGGGAGGGGCCTGGTTGAATGGCTCTCACCTAAGTTCTCTTGGAAGGCAGTGATCAAGCTGTAGGGGTAGGACTACAGTCTCTAAAGACAGAGCTGGGGTTGACAAATCTGATCGCAAGTTTGTTCACTCAGCTATTGTTATGATTCAGTACCTCACTATGTAGATCCCTCCCTAAGACTGCTCACAGCATGGCTTCTACCAGAGGAGGGATCTGAGGAAGTACAAACCACAGAGAGCTCTCAAAACAGAAGCTGCAATATTTGCCAATCTAATCCCAGAAGTGACAAAGCTTCACTTCTACCGTGTGCTTTGACCATTACATAGTTCAAGTCTGATATAATTTGCTCCCCAAGAAAATGCATACAGGTAGGCAGGATCATTAAGGACCAGTTTGGAAGCTAAATACTACAAGGAGGCAAAGTTTTCCTAGCCATGGGCCACATTCACAAAACTAAATATTATGCACTTCCTAAGATAGAAACACATAGATTGATCTGGGAGCCCAGACTTTTGGGATTCCCTTGGGGAACATGGCAGATGCAGCAAAAATGTGACTTAAATCAGGGAGAAGATAATGTATGGCTTTTCCTCCCAGTTCCTGTGAGCTCACCATGGTTACCTAGGAGCTAAGTGCTAAATCATAAAGGACATGTCAGGAGTCGTGGGGTGGGGGGAAAGAACATCTTGGCTGACCCTCCAGGAAGATTCCCCACTTCCCTTCTTCCCACCCTTTTTCCATTCTTCTCTTCTTCTTTCCTCCCCTTCTTCCCTTCCCTCCGCCCCTTCCCCTCTGTGTAGGTAAAGTCACTGGCTGAATCTATCGACGAGGCCTTGAACTGCCACCCATCAGGGTCAATGTCTGAGGAAGCAGGCTCATCTCAACTGGAGAAGCGGGAATCAAAGGAACAGCAAGAAGACAGCTCAGCCACATCTTTCAGTGATCTTCCCCTCTACCTGGATGACCCAGTTCCCCCACCATCCCCTGAACGACTTCCTAGTGCAGAGCCTCCACCCCAGAGCCGACCTGAGTTCTGGGCACCAGCCCCACTCCCGCCAGTTCCTCCATCAGTGCCATCAGGGACTCGGGAAGATGGTGGCCGCGAGGAAGGCACTCGTAGGGGTCCTGGGTGCTTGGAGTGCCGGGATTTCCGGCTGCGAGCTGCCCACCTTCCCCTGCTTACCATTGAGCCTCCTAGTGACAGCTCCGTGGACCTGAGTGACCGCTCAGATCGCGGCTCTGTCCACCGCCAGCTAGTATATGAGGCTGATGGCTGCAGCCCGCATGGGACCCTAAAACACAAGGGGCCACCAGGCAGGGCCCCAATCCCACATCGCCACTACCCAGCCCCTGAGGGCCCAGCTCCAGCCCCACCAGGGCCCCTGCCACCAGCCCCCAACAGTGGCACTGGGCCCAGTGGTGTGGCTGGGGGTCGGAGGCTGGGGAAGTGTGAGGCTGCAGGCGAAAACTCTGATGGTGGAGATAATGAGAGCCTGGAGAGTTCTAGCAATTCCAATGAAACCATCAACTGCAGCTCTGGCTCCTCTTCTCGAGACAGCCTGAGGGAGCCTCCAGCCACTGGCCTGTGCAAACAGACCTACCAGCGTGAGACCAGGCATAGCTGGGATTCGCCAGCCTTCAACAACGATGTGGTACAGAGACGGCATTACAGAATTGGCTTGAACCTCTTCAATAAGTATGTGTTTCCCATCCAAGTCTCCTCCTCACCCCTTCCCGTTCTGCACGGGTACTTTGTTCGTAGTGACTCTGGTTCTGCCACTCTCTCATTTGGTGGAATAGGTGTTTCTTCAGCTGCTCAAGGTGATAGAAGTTGGGCATGGTAGTGCATACTTATAATCTCAGCACTTGGAAGGCAGAAGTAGGCCTGGGCTACACAGTGAGACTCTTGTCTCCAAGACAAAACAAAACAGGCTGGCAGAGTTAGAGACCCCCAAACACACCTGGATTAGGGTTCTATCCTAGGTTAGGACTGCTGTTATCTCCAACTAACTGCTGCTGTCTGGACAAGGTGTTCCCATTAAATGTATTCTGAGCCTCATCTCCTCTACCTCCCTTTTTTGGAGGGGAGATCATCTGTGAGTATACAGAACCCTAGTCTGCCATTCACTGCATAGCTCTGAGCATGTTCTCCTAAAACTGCAACTTTCTCATCTATTGGGTGTTTGAGAGGTGTTAAGGGGCAGGGTTGTGTGTCAGACTACTAAGTGACTGCCATTGAGCTCCTTCTAGGTGTCTGGTCTTCTTCCAGGTACTTAGGAATAGCGTGAGAGTGTGGCATTTGATTAGAAAATAATTAGAAAACATTAGATGTAATTAGAAAACATTCGATGTAATGGAAGACATTAGATGTAATGCCTTACATCTCCATAGTTGATTAAACACTGCCACCTATATTCAGTTCTCACTTGGCAAAGTGGTAGTAATGTCTCAAATTGGTAAATAAGGAACTGAGACCAGAGAAGTAAAGGGATTGCTCAAAATTCATACAGTTAGGGATCTGAGTCTTCTATAACACCAAAGTCTCTCCCAAATTTTAGCTTCATAGGGTCCAAAGGTTCTGGAGCACTAAATGCAAGATAGCTGCAATCTAGATTTTGGCTTAGGGAGTCTCTTGTATATGGACATCCTCACAGAGACTGGGCAGGACATGGAATAAAGAAACCTCTTCACAGCCAGGTGCTAGTGGTTTATACCTGTTATCCTAGCTACTCAGGAGGCTGAGATATGTGGTTTGAAGCCAACCTGGGCAGAAAAACCTAAGAAATTCTTTTCTCCAATCATCCAGCAAAATACCCAAAGTGGAGGTGTGTCTCAAGTGGTCAAGTACCAGCCTTGACTGAAAAAGCTAAGCAAGAGCCTGAGTTCAAGTCCCAGTCCCAGTCCACACACATGCACACACACAAGTAACCACTTCTGCCTTGAGGATTGGGGACTCAGAAAGATGACCTTGGTACTTGCTTGGAATAGCAAAAGTCCTGGCTCTAATCAGATACTGATGTTGTGTGGCTCCAGTGAAAGAGGCAGTTAGAATGAAGATACCTTGGAATTTTGAAGTTCTGTGAAATGGGCCAGTAGCTTCTCCCTGAGTCCTAGTTTTTCATATACCAGGAAAGGATTGGACCATATAGATCCAAGATCCTTGATTCTCTGAAACCATGAATAGGAGGGCCTAAAATTAATTCTACAAATGGGACAGAAGGCACAGTTCCAGGAAGACAGTCATCTCATCTACCTCCTCTCTTTCTGCAGGAAGCCGGAGAAGGGTATCCAGTATTTGATCGAGCGAGGTTTCCTGTCAGACACACCAGTGGGAGTGGCTCACTTCATCCTGGAGAGGAAAGGCCTGAGCCGACAGATGATAGGGGAATTCCTAGGAAACCGGCAGAAGCAGTTCAACAGAGATGTACTAGAGTGAGAACCCCAACACTGGGCATGCAGACCAGAGATTTCTGAAGGAAGGCAGGAGGGAAGAGGGAGCAGCCTGTCCTTTCTGCTCAGATAAATGGACAGGATAAACAAAGTCTCCTGCTTCCATACCCTTCTGTCCCAAAGGGATCAGATCTCCCCAGATTCTATTCTTGAAGTCTTCTGGCAGGGCCTGCTCATGCTATAGCCTGTTTGGGGTCTCAGTGTTCCCATCTCTGAAATGAAGGGACTGCTGGAAAGGATCCTATATGACCACACATTTTGAGGGATAGTTTCTAACACTCTTTCCTCATATATGCTTGTTTGAGCCATGGGTCCTGGTTTTGAAAATCTTACCAGTGGGGAAGTCAGGCCATTTGAACAGGTCTGGGTGGGTTGGAGGTCTCTACAGAGGAATTGAGTGGTGTGCCTCCTTTTTTGCTCTTCAGCTGTGTAGTAGATGAGATGGATTTTTCTTCTATGGATTTGGATGATGCACTCCGGAAATTCCAGTCCCATATTCGGGTACAGGGTGAGGCCCAGAAAGTAGAACGACTCATCGAAGCTTTCAGGTGTGCTTGCTTCTCTACTCCTAAAACTATCCCTTTACTTTGGGGACCCATGTAGTTAGTATATGTCTTCAGGTCACTTCTTTTCCTTTTTTTTTTTTTTTTTTTGGGTCCAGTCATGGGGCCTGAACTCTGGGCCTGGGCGCTGTCCCTCAGCTCTTCAGCTCAAGGCTAGCGCTCTACCACTTGAGCCACAGCGCCACTTTTGGCTTTTTTCTTTTTGCTTATGTGGTGCTGAGGAATCGAACCCAGGGCCTCAGGCATGCGAGGCAAGCGCTCTACCACTGAGCCACCTTCCCAGCCCCTTCAGGTCACTTCTTTGTGCTTGCTTCATACTTTTCTTACTGTAAAATAGAAATGATACATCCTGTCTTGCAAGGCAGTTTGTAAGGATCAGAGGTAGTGAATATAAAGTAGCTAGGTCCAGCATATAGGCTGGGCATTTAACAACTGACAACAATATCAGCATTAAAAGCTAACATCCACAGTGGTAGAGCACTTGCCTCTCATGTGCATGAAGTCCAGGTTCTATTCCCAATACAGAAGGGGAGAAAAATGTTAGCCTTCATGGAACATTTATTAAGTACTAAGTGCCCAGCTGGGCATCTTACATGATTTTTTCACTAAATACTTATAAGATAGATGCTTCTCTTATTCCCACTTTCATGTGACAGATCTGAAGTTCAGAGACATTAGGTAACTTGCCCAGGGTCACAGTGAATAAAGTATAACCAGGATTTGAACTCAAGTATGTCTGACTCCATGGTCCATCCTAGACATTATACTCTACTGCAGAGCCTTTGAGAATCAGACAGACCTGAGTCTAGATCCTGCTTCACCTCTGAATATTTAGATGAGAAACAAAGAAGTTTCTGAGAACTCCTCCCCCTGCCCCCCACTTGCTTCACTACTCACCAGCTCTATTACCTTGGGCAAGTTACCTCACTACCTTGAACCTTAGTGATTTCAGGTGTAAAAGGTATGGCTCAGTAGTAGAGCACATGCTAGATTCAATTTTCAGCACTACAAAAAAGAAGGGGGGGCTGGGAAGGTGGCTCCGTGGTAGAGCACTTGCCTTGCATGCATGAGGCCATGGGTTCTATTCCTCAGCACCACATAAGCAAAAAAAAAGCTGGAAGTGGCGCTGTGGCTCAAGTGGTAGAGCGCTAGCTTTGAGCTGAAGAGCTGAAGGACAGTGCCCAGACCCAGAGTTCAGGCCCCATGACGGGACCCCAAAAAAAAAAAAAGAAGACTTGGTTTCATGGGCTGGGAAGGTGGCTCAGTGGTAGAGCTTGCCTTGCATGCATGAGGCCCTGGGTTCGATTTCCCAGCACCACATAAGCAAAAAGAAAAAAGCCAAAAGTGGCGCTATGGCTCAAGTGGTAGAGTGCTATCCTTGAGCTGAAGAGCTGAGGGACAGCGCCCAGGCCCAGAGTTCAGGCCCCACGACCGGACCAAAAAAAAAAAAGAAAGAAGAAAAAAAATAGATATCTTGAAGCATTATAATAGGATCCTATGAGACACCACACAATTCTACTAGGAAAGCTCCAAAAAGGTAATGATTATGATATTTACCTGTGAATCTTGGGGAAAGTGATTGTGATATTTACCTGTGAATCTTGGGGAAACTGAAGAGAACAGACACAGAGGGCTAAGAGACTATTTCCCAAAAGAAAGGATTGGTTGCACCACACTGGGTGATGGACAGACAAAAATGGCTGGTACTTGAATCAGTATTTGAATCCTCTTGCCCTGTAGCCAGCGGTACTGTGTCTGTAACCCAGCCCTTGTGCGCCAGTTCCGGAACCCAGACACAATCTTCATCCTGGCTTTTGCCATCATTCTCCTCAACACTGACATGTACAGTCCCAGCGTGAAGGCTGAACGCAAGATGAAACTGGATGACTTCATCAAGAACTTAAGAGGTGACTAGAATTTCCCATTGGCTTATCTGCCCATCACCTTGTGGTGGGTGGAGTGGAAGTGAGGGGAGGATGGAGATCCCAGCTCTTCTTGAAAATTAACCTAGGGTGCTATGGTTTCCTTCCAAAGCTGGATATCCCCAAGACATTAATTTATAAATTCACTTAAATAGTTATTTGTGGGACTGGGGGTGTCCCTCACAGGCAGTGTACTGGCCTAGCACATGCAAGGCCCTGGGTTTAGTCACCATCACTGAAAAAAATAAAGGCATTTGCTCATCCATACACTGAATATTTACCAAATGTCTAACATGTATCAGTCATCTAGGTCCTTCATGGAACCTTCATGGAACATTTATTAAGTACTAGGTGCCCAGCTTGGCATCTTACATGATTTTTTTCACTAAGTACTCAAAAATACTTATAAGATAAGTACTTCTATTATTCCCACTTATGTTCCCAATTATGGCAACAAACTTGATATATAACAGTCCTGGCTCTCTTATATCTCTTTCCTAAGTCATGCCCTCAACCATTCCACACCCCTTCTTTCCTTCTCTTTCTTATTTATGTCCATAAGGATTCATTGAATCATTTCATTCATGTATTCATTTATTTGCTAAGCCAACCAACCACCCAGCCCATGGACACTTTATTGGGTACTTAATATGTGCCAGCTTCTATGATAGGTGCCATGGACAATGGAGAGGATTCTACCATAGTCCCTTCTCCGAGAGAGCCCCCAGCTTGTGGGAGAGTCTGACTTGTAGTGTCAGAATAGCCAGAATGTCAGAGGGGTGTAAGTACACTCAAACCTCTGAAGAGGAAGAACCCATCTCCCCCCTGGAGGAATTTTATTTTTGAGGTGAGCCCTGGGGCCAGGGGTAAGCTGACTAGAGAAGGTTTTCCTAGCTGGAATAATAGCAACAAAAGCCCAGAGGGAAGGTAACGTGAAGTTGTTTAGAGAACGATTGGGCTGGGGTTAGAAGATCAGTTGGGAAGGTCAAATGGAAACACTCGCTGAAGGCCTCAATGCCAGATAAAAAGTGTCACTTTGATTTTTTTTTCTCTTAGTTTATTGTATTGATGTCAAGCTCTGCCTCTCACCAAAGAGAACCCTACTAAAAATGGCACAGAAGATTATTTCAAAATAAATGAAAGAGAGAAAAAGAATTGAGAGGAAAGAAAAAAAAGACAAAATTGCTGACCATCAGGATTTACAGTTGGAGGCTTTAAGCTCTCTGGTGGCTAAGATGAAAAGGGCATTGTGGGGAAAATGTTCCTTTAGCACCTGTCTAAAGAGGAGGTGGGTGAGGTATTTCTAAAGGAGAAATCATTTTCTTTAGCAGAAGGTCTAGAGAGAAGAGTGAGTGGGTTTCACTCAGCAGACAGGCAGGAGTGGAGGATGATAGACTTGGGAGGAGGGAGTTAGATCAGTGTCCCATCTGGAGCTGTCTCTAAAATCTTGCCGTTATTCATTCATTTCATTTCCTCTTCCCTGCTGTAAATTTATTTGTGTGTATGTGTATTTGCAATTAGCCCTCCAAGTATGTGGAATCTTTTCAACCCAGGCAGATAGATAGATAGATAGATAGATAGATAGATAGATAGATAGATAGATAGATAGATAGATAGATAGATAGATAGATAGATAGATAATTTGAACAAGCCAGGTGCCAGTGGCTTATATATCTATAACCCTAGCAACTCAAGAAGCTGAAATCTAAGGATCACAGTTCAAAGTCAACCTGGGCGGGAAAGTCCATGAGACTCTTATCTCCCATTAATCACCAAAAAAAGAACCAGAAGCAAAGCTGTGACTCAAGTGATAGAGCTACTATAATCTCAAGCTAGTGCTTGAGGACAGTGCCCAGGCCCTGAGGTCAAACCTAGGACTGGCAGAAAAATATATATTAAAAAAATCTGTCTGTACAATTTGTGCAATATGTACAAATTTTCTTATCATTATTCCCTAAATAATAGCATAACTATGATTTAAATAGCACTAATACAGTAGATGTGATTTAAAGTATATAGAAGGATACCTGTAGGTTATATGCCAGTGCTACTTCATTTTATGTAAGGGTTTGAGGATCCTCAGATTTTGGTATTAATGGGAGATTCATCAATCTTCCATGGAATCAGAAGGATAATTGTGTGTGTGTGAGAGAGAGAGAAAGAGAGAAAGAGACAGAGAGTTGTATATCTTTCCCCCCTCTAGTTACTAAATAAATTAGCAATAAATGAAAGTAATATATGCTTATTTCAGAAATTTGGGACAACAGGGATGTAACAGTATGTGTGTGAGTGTACACACATACGTGTACATACATGCCTGCTAGGCCTGGGACTTGAACACAGGGCCTAGGTGCCCCTACCACTTGAGCCACAGCTCTATTTCTGGCTTTTTAATGGTTAATTAGAGATAAGAGTCTTAAGACTTTCCTACCCAGTCTAGCTATGAAGCACGATCCTCAGATCTTGGCCTTCTGAGTAGCTAGGGTTACAGATGTGAGCCACTGGCACCCAGGATATATGTTTTTAGTATACATAGGAGACCCTGTTTTCGATGCCTAGCTGCCCCCCCCCCCAAATTTTAATATAGAAAGTCAAGGCTGAGGGCATAGCTCAAGTAATAGAGTGCTTGCCTAGCAAATGTGAGAGCCTGAGTTCAAACCCCAATGCTGCTCCCTCAAAATAATAAAATATAGAAAATTAGTAAAAACCTCCCATCTCTCCTTTCTTTTTTGCCAGTACCAGGTTTGAACTCATAGTTTTATTCTTGCTGAGCTTGTTGGATTTGCTGATGTTCCCCTGGGGCTATACCTCCAACTCTTAACTTTTTACTGGTTATTTTAGAGAGTTTTGGATTTTTCTACCTTTGCTGGCTTTGAACCAGGATCCTCAACTCTCATCCTCTTTAGTAGCTAGGATTATAATCGTGAGTCATTGTTGCCTGCAACCATGCTTAGTATTTTGGTATGTTCTAGTTTTTTTTCCATGCATATACAGCTTTTCATACAATTAAGATCACACTAATACCTGTAATCTTAGCTACAAAGGAGGTTGAGATCTGAGGATCCTGGTTTGAAGCCAGACTAAGCAGACAAATCCAAGAGACTTTTTTTTGCGGGGGGAGGGGAAGAGGGTCGGTCATAGGGCTTGAACTCTGGGCCTGGGCAATGTTCCTCTTCAGCTCAAGGCTAGCGCCCTACCACTTGAGCCACAGTGCCATTTCTGGCCTTTTCTCCTTATGTGGTGCTGAGGAATTGAACCCAAGGCCTCATGCATGCAAGGCTAGTACTCTACCACTGAGCCACCTTCTCAGCCCCCAAGAGACTCTTATCTTAGATTAACTTGCAAAATGCTGGAAGTGGAGGTATGGCTTAAGTGGCAGAGAGCCAGCCTTGAGCACAAAAGTTAAGCAAGAGTATGAGGTCCTCAATTCAAAACCCACAAACAGCACAAAATTTTATTCTTGTTAATTAAGAAGGCAAAAAAAGAGTACTCAATTGTCCTAATTATAGTATGTTCTAAGTTGTTTAGATAAAATTTCCACTCTGGGAAATTGGCTATTTTATTGAAGGGCCAATCTTGACTGATGGACTAAGGATACTCACTGCCCCTTGGTCATAACTATAATCATGGTCCATGCCTGGGTATGTGGTATTGGGCAGAACCCCTCCACCCATTCCTCATATTTATATGATATATCACTGTATTATTCCCCCAACACAGGGGTTGACAATGGTGAGGATATCCCCCGGGATCTCCTGGTGGGTATCTACCAGCGCATCCAGGGGCGTGAATTGCGGACCAATGATGACCACGTGTCCCAAGTGCAGGCTGTGGAGCGCATGATTGTTGGCAAGAAACCGGTAAGAGTCATAGGAGGCAGAGGGGCCAGGGTTCTGGTCTGCCCTCCACTGCTGTGTGGTAAGTCACTGTCACTCTCTGAGCTCAGGTTCCCTATACCTGAGAAGTGGAGTGGGTGATTAATGGATTCCCTATCATAGCGGTCATGGAACAGATTATGGGAGATGCTTTATGCAAATGCATCTAGCACATTGCAAGGCCTGTGGTAGATACTATATTAATATTAGCACCCTTCTCATCTCTGGTTTTGCCTGATCAACCCAGGTAAGGAAGCAAGCTGATATAGCTGAGAAACAAAGCAAAGGTACATTTTGGTCAACAAACATTTATAGATGCCTTTCCATAGAGCCCAGATTTTTACTGGGCCCCAGAGATAAAAGATAAGATATGAATCAGACAGTCTCTGTCCTTAGAGGCACCTAAGGACAGGCAAAAACACCAATAACACTTCTTCCTGCTAATCTGGTTTAAGAGAGAGAACAGAAAGAGGGAGAGACTATTTTCAACCTTGAGAATTCAGGGAAGGCTTCTTGGAAGAGATAACTTTGGAATTTGCATTTGATGGAGGAAGGGTGCAGAGCTAGGCAGGAAAGTCATTGCAGACAGAGGGCACTAGAGGTACAGAGCTAGCAAGCAGAAAAAACTTAGGCCTTAGTTGGTTTATACTTTTTGTGTAGCCCAGAGCTGGTGGCTCACGCCTATAATCCTAGCTACTCAGGAGGCTGAGATCTGAGGATCGTGGTTCAAAGCCTGGCAGGGCAAGAAAGTCTGTGACACTCATCTCCAATTAACCACTAGAAAACCAGAAGTGGTGCTGTGGCTCAAGTGGTATAGTGCTAGTGTTGAGCTGAAGAGCTGAGGGACAGTGCCCAGGCCCCCAGTTCAAGACCCACAACCAATCAAAAAAAGAAGGGGGGGGCTTGGAAGGTGGCTCAATGGTAGAGTGCTTGCCTTGCATGCATGAGGCCCTGGGTTGGATCCTCAGTGGCTCAAGTGGTAGAGCGCTAGCCTTGAGCTGAGGAGCTGAGGGACAGTGCTCAGGCCCAGAGATCAGGCCCCACGACCAACCAAAAAAAAACCCAAAAACAAAAAAACTTTTTGTGTGAGAGTGACACGTATTTTTTAGACATATATGCACTTTGTCTTGTGGTCACATGTTAAGCTGATGGATTGGTCTTGCCAATCCCTGTTTCTCCATGCCTGTCCAGGTCCTCTCTCTTCCTCACCGACGACTGGTTTGCTGCTGCCAGCTCTATGAGGTGCCAGATCCAAACCGCCCCCAGAGGCTAGGGTTGCATCAACGGGAGGTCTTCCTCTTCAATGATCTCCTTGTGGTATGGATATTATATGGGAAAGATATAGGAGGGAGAGGAGTGAGCACAGCTGCTAGGTATGGATGTGAAGTATGTTGATTGACATTTGGGTGTGGAGTATGATTTGGTGAAGAGGCTCTGCCATGCCGTCTGCCTGGTCTCCCACAAGGCATAAGCCTTCTTTGTTCCTCCTTTTCCTTACATGTCTATTTGGAGGTAGTAACAGGTATATGGGGGAGGGAAACAAGAAAAAAATATGAGGATGGGAGTGTAAACAGACTTGGAATCTGGGAAGTGATAAGTGATATCACTGTTCACCTCAGTAGCCCAAAGGGTTGGTTAGAGGAGAACGTGTGGTCCTGAGGTCCGTCTGCAATCTTTGAGTGGTCTGATAATGGAAGTCATTCTGAAAACTGAACTTAAGCTAGTCCCCAGTAGCTCACACTTGTAATCCTGGCTATTAAAGAGGCTGAGATCTGGGGATCGTGTTTTAAAGCCAGCCCAGGCAGCAAAGTCCCTTAAACTCTCCAATTGTTGGCTCAGTGGTAGAGTGCTTGCCTTGCATGCATGAAGCCCTGGGTTCGATTCCTCAGCACCACATAAGCAGAAAAAGCTGGAAGTGGCGCTGTGGCTCAAGTGGTAGGGTGCTAGCCTTGAGCTGAAGAGCTGAGGGACAGCACCCAGGCCCAGAGTTCAGCCCCCACAACCGACAAAAAAAAAAGAAAAAGAAAAAGAAAACCGGAAGTGGCGCTGTGAAGTGGTAGAGTGCTATCCTTGAGCTGAAGAGCTCAGGGACAGTGCCCAGGACCAGAGTTCAAGCCCCATGCCTGACCAAAAAGAAAAAGAAAATCAGCTTATGCCAGCTGCTGGTGGTTCCTGCCTGTTATTCTCTAGCTACTCAGGAGGCTCAGATCTGAGGATTGTAGTTTGAAGCCAATCCAGGCAGAAAATGCTATGAGAGTCTTATCCCCAGTTAAACCAATAAAAAAGCTGGAAATGGAGGTATGGCTGAGTGGGAGAGCACTAGCCTTGAGTGAAAAAGCCAAGCAAGAGCTCAAGGCCCTGAGTTCAAGCCTCAGTATCAGTGCACACACATACACCACCAAAAACAACTGAGCTCATCACTGGTACAGAGATGTTGATCTTTTAGGAATGGAATTTCTAGGATTTTACAGATAGAAAGAGACTTTCATGATCTCCTGCACAGCTTCCTAGATGGCTTATGTCACTAGACAGACAGAAAGCTGCCCTCCTCCATAGCAGCCAGTTTCCTTGTCAGGTAGCATGGACTGCTGCAATCTGTCTTCCCTAAGGGTTTCCTCCAATGAGCTGTACTTGACCCTTGAAAACACAAAGCAGAATACTCTCCTTTGGCTCCCAGACAGCTCTTTAGGGACTTGAGGCCAGTAATCCTGTTCGTGCTGTAGTCTTCTCTCCTTCAAGAAAGAATGTCTTAGTTTCAGCACTGTTAACATTTGGAGACAGGCCGGTGCTGGTGGCTCACACCTGTAATCCTTGCTACTCAGGAGGCTGAGCTCTAAGATCACAGTTCAAAGCCAGCCCAGCAGGAAAGGCCGTGAAACTCTTTATCTCCCATAAACAACCAGAAAACGGGAAGTGGTGCAATGGCTCAAGCGCTAGTATTGAGCTAAAGAGCTGAGGGACAGGGCTCAGGCCCAGAGTTCAAGCCCCATGATGGACCAAAAAAAAAAAACCAAACCATTTAGAGACAGACCACTCTCTCTTGCAGGGGCCTGTCTTAGGCATTGCAGAATGTTTAACATCATCCTTATCTCTACCTACTAGATGTTAGTAGCAGCCCTTCAACCAACAATCTGTTGAGAGAGAGGGATATAGAGAGATTTTTCAGGAAAAAATGTCTTTTCCAAACATCGCTCACTGTCTTGCAGGGGGAGGGCACAAAATGGCTTTCAGTTGAGAATCACTACTTTAGACAAAGCATGCATTTTACACACACACACACACACATGCACGCATGCATGCACGCACGCATGCACGCACGCCCACCCCCCTCTCTGAGCTTTAGTTGTCTGCTCTTTGAAATGGGGCTAAGCTCAAACTCAGACAAACAAGTAGCATATGTTTTCTCCATATATGGAAGCTAGGTCTAAAATACATTGAAATATGATAAATCAGCTGGGCGCCAGTAGCTCACGCCTGTAATCCTAGCTACTCAGGAGGCTGAGGTCTGAGGATCACGGTCAAAGCTAGGGCAGGAAAGTCCGTGAGATTCTTTCTTATCTCCAATAAACCACTCAGCCAGAAGTGGTGCTGTGGCTTAAGTGGTAGAGCGCTAGCCTTAAGCTAAAGAGCTGAGGGACAGTGCCCAGGCCCAGAGTTCAAGCCCTACAACCAACAACAATAACAAAAAGAAATATGATAAATCATACAGGACAATAGGCATTCACACACAGTGAGATCAAAGGAGGAAATTTAGTGGAGGAACACAAGGCAGAATGCTTATGTGCCTCTGATCATAAAAAATAATATATTGAGGGCTGGGAAGGTGGCTCAGCGGTAGAGTGCTTGCCTTGCATGCATGAGGCCCTGGGTTCGACTCCTCAGCACCATATAAGCAGAAAAAGCTGGAAGTGGTGCTGTGGCTCAAGTGGTAGAGCTGAGGGACAGAGCCCAGGCCCAGAGTTCAGGCCCCACGACCGGCAAAAAAAAAAAAAAAAAAAAAAAAATATATTGAGAGCCGGTTGCTGGTGGCTCACGCCTATATTCCTAGCTACTCAGGAGGCTGAGATATGAGGATCGCAGTTCAAAGCCAGCCTGTGCAGGAAAGTCTGTGAGACTCTTATCTCCAATAAACCACTAGAAAACCAGAAGTGGCACTGTGGCTCAAGCGGTAGAACGTTCGCCTTGAGCTGAAGAGCACAGGGACAGCGCCCAAGCCCAGAGTTCAAGCCTTGCCACAGACCAAAAAATAAAATAAAAAATATATATAGAGATATAAATGAATCCCAGGAAATGGAAACAAGTAGTTTGGGGGGTTGTTTTCTTCCTTCCTTCCTTCCTTCCTTTCTTTCTTTTTCTTTTTGCCTTGTTTTGTTCATTTATCTGTCTTTGGGAGGGTAAGGGTTGGGTCACAGAAATGGAGGAAGAAAGAATGTAGAAATACACATTGGTACTAAGTAGGCATTATGTTGAAAATGAACTATACAACTTGTGGGTGGGGATGGGAGGGCAAAACTGGGAGAGAGCGAAGAAAGGGGTGCCATTGTCCAAAATGAAATTTACTCATTACCTGACTTATGAAACTGTAACTCCTCTGTTCATAACATTTTTTTTGCCTGTCCTGGGGCTTGAACTCAGGGCCTGGACACTGATCTTCTTTTTGCTCAAGGCTAGCACTCTACCACTTGAGCCATAGCACCACTTCCAGCTTTTTCTGTTTATATGGTACTGAGGAATCAAGCCCAGGGCTTCATGCATGTTAGGCAAGCACTCTACCACTAAGCCACACTCCAGCCCCTGTATATCACCTTTCTAGTAATAATAAAATATTTTTTAAGAGAAATGAGCTTAACCCATATTTCCTAGGGTGGTAAAGTTGAAATGAGAGGTCATATGTGGAATAGCCTTACATCTTAAGATGTATCTGGTCCACACATGCCTAGACAGTGTTAGATACTCCTCATGGACTGACACCTCTGTATGTCCAGATCTATCTTAGAAACTAGATATAAGAAGATGAATCATTTTGTTAAATAGCAACTTCTTTGTACAACTACTTAAAGACAATAATACTAAAAATAAGTATGTTCTAACTCACAATAAAAAAAAAAATGATGAGGGGTTGGGAAGTTGGCTCAGTGGTAAAGCACTTGCCTTGCATGCCTGAGGCCCTGGGTTTGATTCCTCAGCACCACATAAGCAAAAAGAAAAAAGCCGGAAGTGGCGCTGTGGCTCAAGTGGTAGAGCGCTAGCCTTGAGCTGAAGAGCTGAGGGACAGTGCCTAGGCCCAGAGTTCAGGCCCCGCGACTGGACCCAAAAAAAAAAGATGAATAAGCCAGGCACCAGTGGCTCATGCCTGTAATCCTAACTACTTAGGAGGCTGAGATCTGAGAATCACGGTTCAAAGCCAGCCTGGACAAGAAAGTCCATGCTCAAGTGATAGAGCGTTGGCCTTGAGCTGAAGAGGTGAGGGACAGCGCCCAGGCCCAGAGTTCAAGCCCCACAACCAACAAAAGAAAGTCACTTACAGATTGTCCACACCTATTTTAATGAGAGTCCAGAGTGCCTAAGTACTTTGTAGAGACTTGGGTTGTTGACAGAAAGACTTGTTCATCTTATATAGGCTAGGCAGTGGTTGCTGTTCTTTTTTCTCTCTTCATGAGCAAGAGAACCTGAAAATCAAAGGCCTGCCCTTGAGGCTAGCAGGAGGCAATCATATACTCAGACTACCATGGAGTCAAGCAAAGGAGGAAGGTATCGGCACTCTGGAAACTTAGAAAGAGGAAACAAAACTCTGTGTGAGGTGGTAGGGGAGCAGTGTTCAGGTTGTGGAGGGAGCAGTATTCAGTTTATTCCTGTGAAAATTACAAAGGCTTGTGTATCATTGTGACATCAGGCATCGTGACATCAAGAATTTGCATCTTCTTCTGTTTCTCCTGTTCTGTTCCCCAAGCTTCAGTTCTCCCCAATGTACACGTGTGTGTGTGTGTGTGCGTGTGTGCGTGTGTGTGTGTGTGTGTGTGTGTGTGTGTGTGTGTCTGATTTGGGCATAGGAGGGAGAGTGGTTAGGAGAAATTGTACCACATGGAAATTCCCTTCCCCAAACCCTGCTTCTTGTTTTTTTTCCCCCCCACCCTTGCCAAAGGTCACCAAAATTTTCCAGAAGAAGAAGATCTTGGTGACGTACAGCTTCCGTCAGTCCTTTCCCCTGGTGGAAATGCACATGCAGCTCTTCCAGAATTCATGTGAGTCCTTTCCTAGCATCCCAGGATCGGACCTGGGATGGGGCCCTAAGGACTGGGCACCAAGTCTACTTGGTCTCAGGATGAAGATCAGACTAAGATGGACTGAGACTGGGCTCTGGCCCTGGGGAAGAGGAAGGAACCACTGTGTTTGTGTGTTCCCTGGTGGGCCAAAGAGATGGTAATCACATTATGTTCTGAAGTATGGAACACAGAGGAATATGAATGGGTAACATTCGGGACAAAAAAGCATTATGAGCATAGGCAGGGGGCAAAGGAAAGTTTCTAAAAAGCAGTGCAGAATTGGGTTTGCTTTTACATCCTAGAGTATAAAGAGTAAGACGAACATGACTGCTAGGATTTGAGGACCAAAGGGAAACCACTGAAGATGCATGAGTTGAAAAAAGGCAGATCAAGCTGGGAGCCAATGGCTCATGCCTATCACCCTGGTTGCTCAAGAGGCTGAGATCTGAGAATCACTGTTTCAAGCCAACCTGGGCAGCAAAGTCCATGAGACTCTTAATCTCCATTTAATGAGCAAAATCCAGAAGTGGAGCTGTGGCTTAGGTGGTAGAATACCATCCTTGAGTGAAAAAGCTAAGGGATAGTACCTAGGCCTGAGTTCAAGCCCCAGTACTGGCATGTGTGCCTGCGCGCACGCGTGCGCGCACACACACACACACACACACACACACACACAACACACACACACACACACACACACAGCAGAGCAAAGTTGGATACTTGAAAGACTATTTCCAAGTCAGGTATAGTAGTACTCACCCACAGTCCCAGCTCTTGGGAAACTGAGGTAGAAAGACCCCAGGGGTTCAAGACCTGCCTAGGCAACATGGTAAGTCCCTGGAGAGAGAGAGGGAGAGATGGGGAGGGAGGAGGAGATAAAGAGGGAAGGAGGAGGCTGGGAAGGTGGCTCAGTGGTAGAGTGCTTGCCTTGCATGCATGAGGCCCTGGGTTCGATTCCTCAGCACCACATAAGCAGAAAAAAAAAGCCGGAAGTGGTACTGTGACTCAAGTGGTAGAGTGCTAGCCTTGAGCTGAAGGGCTGAAGGACAGCGCCTAGGCCCAGAGTTCAGGCCCCACGATCGGACCAAAAAAAAAAGAGGGAAGGAGGGGAGAGAGAGAGTGTTTATGGCTCATGCCCATAATCCCAGCTGCTTAGGGGGCTGAAATCTGAGGATTGAGATTTGAAGCTAAACTGAGGAGCTAAATCCGTGAGACTTTTATCTCCAGTTAGCCACTAGAAAGCTAGAAGTGGAGCTGTGTGGCTCAAGTGGTAGAGTGTCAGCCTTGAGCAAAAACGTTAATTGACAGTGCCCAGGTCCTGAGATCAAACCCCTGTACTAGCAGAGAGAGACAGAGACAGAAAGACAGAGGGGGGAGGGTGGGAGGGAGAGAGAGAAAGAGGGAGGAGAGATATTGAAAGACAGACAGACAGACAGACAGACACACACACACACACACACACACACACACACACATACACATAATTTCTCATTTAAGCCACCTTGCTTTAGTCCTGACAGAGGCCCCCCAACATGACCTGTCCCTTCCCTTTGTCCACAGATTACCAGTTTGGAATAAAGTTACTATCTGCAGTACCTGGTGGGGAACGCAAAGTCCTCATCATTTTCAATGCCCCCAGCCTCCAGGACCGGCTACGCTTCACTTCTGACTTGCGCGAGTCCATTGCCGAGGTGCAAGAGATGGAGAAATATCGTGTGGAGTGTGAGTAGCCCAGCCACATCTTCCTCCTGTCACGATACAGTGCCCAGCAGACACAAAGAATTCTATCTTCTGAGCATCTCAAGAGTTGAGGCTTAACTTGTCCGACCATCCTACCCTCTTTCCAGAAACCCTTCTGCTTGAATACCTTCAATGATAACATTACTTTTCCACCTCAGATTATTATTCCAAGCATTAAGAGTCTGTGCTGTGGCCTCTATACCCAGCCTTCAATCGTGAGCCAACTCGTCCTTCTATTGAAAGGCATCAATAAGGGAGAAGAATCAGGGTGTAGGAGGTAGGACTGTAGTTTCAGACCTCAGGTATGGTCCTTATTGTCTGGGTAAACTGGGGTGAGTTGCCTAGCCCTCCAAACCCCAGTTTCTTCCTACATGAAATTGGAGTTATAAAGATGAAATGAGACCAAGGTAGCCAAGATGTCCTACTATCTCCTTCATGTTCAATAAGTATCATTCTTTGTCTTGCCCTCTCCTCTTCACTCCTCACATATCAGTTCCTTAAGGCATTCCCATTATCACATCCTCTCAGCCCCTTAGAGACTACACAAAGTCATATTGATCATATACATTAGAAAATAGTGATTACATTTCATTTCCAGGCTAAGCAATCTCTGTTAAGTAAGTTGACATTAAGGAGAAAAAGACAGGGCAGAGGCAGCGGGACAGGATCTTTAGTACTTTTCAATTACACAGGATCAGGAGTTTCTGTTGAGCAGACCCTCAGAGACCCTGGAGAAATGCTGAGTGAGGGATTATCATGTCAAGAGGAGGGGAGGGCAATAGAAAGTTTCCAGGATCTCTGTGGGTAAAAAGGAGGCTGGAAGAGCCCAGGCTTGAAGATGAGGCCAACTTGCTTCCACAATATCGGCTTCAACATTCCCAACTCTATGACTCTGGGAAAGCTCCGTGACTTTTCAGATTCTCAGTGTCTTCCTGTACACAATGTGAATATTGTGGACTTGAGAGGGTTCAAGTATGTGTAGTATCCAGGACGTTGCCTGGCGACATAATAAGAGGCTTTGATTTCTGTCGGTTGTATGCTCTTGCCCTTCTGGGAGCCCTCTACTCGGCAGCAAGGTATCTGAGAACTCAGTGAACTCTGCAAAAAACTCGCCCTTCACCTTAGGGTTGATGGGCCTTCCTGTCTTTCCTGAGAAGCATCTGCTGGAAAACTCTTGTTGGAAGAACAGCAGTGTTTGGTGGATGGGGTGGGGAACACTTGGCTACAGTAGGACAAAAGAGGGGAGGAATGTGAGGGTAGAAAGGAGAGGAAAAAGGAAGAAGGAAAGACCAAATAGGAGGGGGGATGCAGGGTGCAGGACATTGCAGTAGAGGCAGTTTGAAGGAAAACAAGTGCTGGTAGTCTAGGAGCAGAATGGGAGCCCTGAAGAAGGAAAGAAGACCTATGGAGGGCTATGATCAGTCAGGTGAGCTCTCACTCCTGTTCCTGACCTGTGTTCCCTATCTTCCCCACTGCTATCCAGCGGAGTTGGAGAAGCAGAAAGGTATGATAAGGCCTAATGCCTCACAGCCGGGAGGAGCCAAGGACTCAGTGAATGGGACACTGGCCCGCAGTAGCCTGGAGGACACTTACGGGGCAGGCGACGGGCTCAAACGGGGAGCACTCAGCAGTTCCCTGCGAGATCTGTCTGATGCAGGTAGGTCTCCTGGGCCCCTACCCTAGCTGGGGAGACGTGGGACCAGGTGTCCTCTCTGCCTCCTATCACTGGCTGCCAGCCTTCCCTGCCACACATGCACGCACCCTGCCTTCACCAGGAGCCCTGGGCACTGTGCCACAGGGGGGCCTGGTAACCAGGTCAGAACAGGTGGAGCCCAGGGTTTGGGCCAGGGAATGTGAAGTGGGGCCATAATCTCAGCCCCTCTTTTCCCTCTTCTGTCTCTCCTTTACCACCTCTCCTCCTTCTCCATCTTTTTCCTCCTCTCTCTCCTCCTTCTCCACCTCTCCTCCCCACCGCCCCCTCTTCAACGGGGGAAAGGGATAAATGGGGTGTCTTTCCCCGGGAGGGGCCCAGGCCTGGTGCCCAGATCTGGAGCCCAGCAGGGTGGGGAGGGGGGGTTGCTGCTCTGACGCTGGGCTCCTTGCTTGTGGGTGCAGGGAAGCGGGGGCGGCGTAACAGCGTGGGATCGCTGGACAGCACCATCGAAGTAAGTGCCAGCTCCTGCCCCACTCATCCTCTGCATGAGCCCTGCCCTGGCCATGGAGCCCCAGAGGAGGAGGGGGCCTGTTGCTTCCCCCTTCTTCCCTACTGGGAACTGTGCAGCTGCCTCTCCCAGCCAACCACTCTCTCCATCTGTCCTCAACTCTTGTCTGTCCTCACTCTGCCTGTCTTTCTGTCTGTCTTCCACTCTCCCATGCCCCTTCTCAGCCCGAAGTAGGGATGCCTTTGGACTTTGGGGTGTGAGAAGCTTTTGTCTCTAAGTCCTGATCTTTTGACCCTAAGCAAGGTCACTCTGCCTCCGTGGGCCCAATGTGTTCCTAGGCTGCAAAACGGGCATGAGGAGGAGCTCCTACTCAGTGTTCCTCTGCCTGCTGAGGCTCTCAGCTGAGGTAGTGGATGTGGCAGCAGAGTTGTCCAGCCTGGGGAGCTCCATGTACCAAGGACAGGACTGCTATTTGCTTTCCATTCTCACCTGGGGATCCCTGTCTCCCCAGCTCCAGCCCTCAGGGACAGGGGTGGAGCTTAGGGTTGGGGGTTTAGGATGTCTAGACTGGCCTGACTTCCACCCTCCCCCTTTCCAGGGGTCTGTTATTAGCAGTCCACGCCCTCACCAGAGGATGCCACCTCCGCCCCCACCCCCGCCGCCAGAGGAGTACAAGAGCCAGAGGCCGGTCTCCAACTCCTCATCTTTCCTGGGCTCCCTATTTGGAAGCAAGCGGGGCAAGGGGCCCTTCCAGATGCCACCACCGCCAACAGGCCAGGCCTCTGCCTCTTCTTCATCTGCTTCCTCTACCCACCACCATCACCACCACCATCACCATGGTCACAGCCACGGTGGTCTGGGGGTGCTACCTGATGGGCAATCCAAACTCCAGGCCCTGCATGCCCAGTATTGCCAAGGACCCGGGCCTGCCCCACCACCCTACCTCCCACCCCAGCAACCCCCTCTCCCCCCTCCTCCTCAGCAGCCTCCACCCCTGCCCCAGCTGAGCTCCATTCCACCACCACCAGCCTCTGCCCCTCCTGTGGGACCACATCGCCACTTCCATGCCCATGGCCCTGTTCCAGGTCCTCAGCACTACACCTTAGGCCGGCCAGGCAGGGCCCCAAGGCGAGGGGCTGGAGGCCACCCTCAGTTTGCTCCACATGGCCGCCATCCTTTGCACCAGCCCACGTCCCCATTGCCCCTATACAGTCCTGCCCCCCAACATCCTCCTGCTCACAAACAAGGCCCCAAGCATTTCATCTTCAGTCACCACCCACAGATGATGCCAGCAGCAGGTGCAGCTGGAGGACCGGGATCCCGGCCACCAGGAGGCTCCTATTCCCATCCCCACCACCCCCAGTCACCACTGTCGCCACACTCACCCATTCCACCCCACCCCTCCTACCCACCCCTACCCCCACCGTCACCTCACACCCCTCACTCACCCCTGCCTCCCACTTCCCCCCATGGCCCACTGCACGCCTCTGGGCCCTCTGGCACGGCCAACCCACCCAATGCAAACCCCAAGTCCAAACCAAGCCGGATTAGTACCGTGGTGTGATAAATGGAGCGAGCGAGCTGGAAATCAGGAAGGTCTGAGGAATCCACGGGAGAGAGATCTTACCCCTCTTCTTCCCTCTGTTTTTCTCAAAATATATATACACATAGCAGTGTCCTCCTCTCCACTTTCTCTCTGCCTTGGGACCCCTCCTCCAGCCCTTAGCAGTTGCCACGGGGTTTCCTTTCAGATTTGAGGGCCCTTGCCATTTACAGCGTGGACTTAGGGCACTCTTTGATGCTGGGCAGTGGTGAGGGTCTTTTAAAGATCCTCATCCTCTTTTTCCTGTCTTCCTCCCTCGCCCCCGCCACTTGTCCTGGTGGTCTAGCTCCGTGGCCTCAGACCTCCAGGCCAGTGTGAGCTCCCTTGCAGCTCTGGCTGGTGGTGATGGGCAGATGACCAGAGCTGTAAAGGTGAAAGCTTCCCCCAGAGCTCCTCTGGCTGCATGAGCCTAGGAGAAGAGAGCTCTGTAGAGCTGTGGCCAAGCCTCAGCTGGCTCAGCCCTCTCTCTGACCTCAGGGCCTGGCCACACACCTCCATGTGTCTTTCTGCCTGTTCGAGGACACAGACTGTCAATGCACTCCGTGGGTGGGACCCCCGCTTGGGCTGGCCCCTACACAGGGCAGTGCTTCCTCTCTCTCGAGCCAGTCAATGCCCTCTCTCCAGTAGGCCCTAGCCCAGACCTCTTCGGCTTCAGGAACTTGGCCTTACCCTGCAAATGGTCTTATCCTGATCAAAGTCAAGACAGGTTTTCTTTGAGTGTGGGGGGGCTCAGGTCTTGGATGAGAAGGGCACTGCCCTCCCTCACCCATATTGCATGCCCCCCCATTCCCTTTTGCCTCTCCCATCTACAACTGAAGACAATGCACTTTACAGATGATTGCCCACACACACAACTCTCTGGGGCAAGGTACCTAACATCAGCTCTGGGGAGGCGCTCCCAGAGGGCTACCCTGAGCCCAAGATGTCCTTCCTGAGGCAGAGATAGAAGCCATCAGAGCTGGGGCTGGGAGCCAGAATGCCTGAGTCCTTTCTGTCCGTCAAAATTTCCACTGCCTCTCCAGCCCTTTTGCAGCCCTGTTTATTTATTATAAATATATTTTTTACAAGTCCCAGCTCCTCTTCTTGCCCCGCAATCCAGCTCCATTCTCAGCTCCTACATTCCTCTCCCCCTCTCCACCGTGGGCTGCAGTACAGATAGATAGATAGACCCTGGCTGTTGAAGAGCCAGGGACCCTGGGCTCAGGGGGTATGTGGTGGTGGGAGGGGCTGTATGGAGAGGAGCTGGCGTTCAGGCATTGTCTTTTTTCCTCCTTGTATATAAGAATGTATATTTGATGCCTCATAAAAGACCTTGTGCTCACCTCCTGCCTCTGCCTCCTGCTTGTCTTCCCCACCCCCAGCCACATTCCCCACTGTGGAGACCCTGGAGAGAGAGGCCTTAGCCCTGGGGAGATGATACACTCATGGTAGTTTGGGCAACTAGGTGGGGCGAGATGCTTTGGTTGGGTGGGAAGAGTGGCAAAGGTCTTCCTATCTCATTTCAAACATAGTCTGAATGACAAAATGGCAAGAATGTGGCCTTTGGTAGGCATGTAAACTTTGGGGATTTACCTGCCTCTACTTCCCAAGTAGGTAGGATTACAGATCTGGGCCATCATGCCCGATCCTCATCTCCAGCAGCTGGAGCCATCTTAACATTTGATACCTTCTCACAGACAAGACCTAAGTGTTTGAAGAGCTAAGTGTTTGGTCCTGAATCAAATCCAATCAGCAGTATTGATTTGTCCTTTAGTGGAACAAGCTGGACTACCTTTGGTCACTACCATTCTCCCACCTTCAGCTTGAGGCTGCTTGAATTTTCCCCCAAATTCAGCTTTTACAGTTCTCAGATTGTGGCCCAGTGACTTGACAAGTCAAGTCACCCAGCCCCTCAGAGCATATTAGTGTTTTGTTTTATTTAAAGGCTAGGGATAACAATATTGCAAGGCAATTGTTACCAGATGCACATGAAGAGCCTACCTCCTGCCAGACACATACTCAACTGTTCTTGGCCACCTGTGGAAACAAGTGCAAGCTGCTTGCCTTCATGGGGTGACTCAACACCTTTGCAGTCCCTTCATTCCTCACTCAAGCTTGCACCATCTGCTCTCTGTTCTCTCAGAGTGCCTATGTACTTTCCCACCTGTTATTTTACTTGTGCCTTTCCCCTCCGGCCAGGCATGTTCCCTCCTGACATCACAGAGGCTTTCCTGCTTTTGCAAGATGAGCTCAAAGGACCTACCCTTGACAATCTCTGCTCTTTTCCTCTGTGTCTGTGTCTGTGTGTATGCATGTGCGTGCACACACACATGCAGCACACATGCCAGAATTGGGGCTTCAACTCAGGGCTTGGGTACTGTCACAGCTTTTTTGCTCAAGGCTGGCACTCTACCACTTGAGCCACAGATCCGTTTCCAGCCTTTTGGTGATTCACTGGAGATGAGAGTCTTAAACTGACTTGGAACAGTGATTCTCAGATCTCAGCCTCCCAAGTAACTGGGATTATAGATGTGAGCCACTGGCACTGGCACAATTTGTACTCTTATTTACATTCTCTGAGATCCCTCAACCCATAATATTTCCTATCAGGCCACAGGTGGCTTGAGAGTGACTCTAGTGTGTGTCATTTTCTTAACATTGTCTAGGACAGCACACATATGTGTCTTACGTTTCCCCCATCTCCCTACAGTTTGCCTCTGTCTTCATACTCCATGAATAGAGCATTGCCTAGTTCGGCAAGCTGGGGCTTTTTAGTAATAGAACTTTCGAGTTGGGAAGGTGGCTCAGTGGTAGAACACTTGCCTTGCATGCATGAGGCCCTGGGTTCAATTCCTCAGCACCACATAAGCAAAAAGAAAAAAGCTGGAAGTGGCACTGTGGCTCAAGTGGTAGAGCACTAGCCTTGAGCTGAAGAGCTGAGGGACAGTGCCCAGGCCCAGAGTTCAGGCCCCATGACCGGACCCAAAAAAAAAAAAAAAGAAAAAAGAAAGAACTTTCTATGAACTTCAGTGTTCACTTTGGACTAAGCACTTCAGCACTTCAGACTAAGGAATTTGGAGGTATGAACTCAGGGCTTTGTACTTGTATAAGTTCTGTAACTTAAGCCATGTCCCATTCCTTTCTGCCTTAGGCTATTTTTCAGGTAGGGCCTGGCTTTTTGTCCAGGGCTGGCCTCAAAATATGATCCTTCTACCTACTTTCTTGCCACCATGTCTGTTTTGTGTGTGTGTGTGTGTGTGTGTGTGTGTGGTTTTTGGGTTTTTTTTGCCGGTTGTGAGGCCTGAACTCTGGGCCTGAGTGTCATCCGTCAGCTCTTCAGCTCAGGGCTAGTGCTGTACCACTTGAGCCACTTCTGGCCACTTCTGGCTTTTTCTGCTTATGTGGTGCCGAGGAATCAAACCCAGGGCCTCATGCATGCAAGGCAAGCGCTCTACCACTGAGTCACCTTCCCAGCCCCCTGGTTTTTGTCAGATGAGATCTAACTAACTTTTCTCCCAAGGGCTAGCTTTGAACCAGTACTCCTGACCTCTGCCTCCCTTGTAGCTGGTGTAATTACAGATGTGAGTCACCCATCTTGCCTCAAATGTCACTAAAGTACACTCTTGCTGGGCTTTTTCACTCACGGCTGCTGCTTTGCCACTTGAGTCATGTCTTCCCTTACTTTCACTTAGTCAGCATTTTGTTAACTAAGTGGAGGTAAGTCACAGACAGTTCTCCCTGGCTGGCTCTGAACCAAAATTCTCAGATCTCAGCCTCCTGAGTATAATTACAGGTGTGAGCCACAGGTACCAATGGTCCCTCAAGGATTTTTTTAAAAAATAATTTTGTTGTTATTAAGATGTTATACAGAAGGGTTATTTCATAAATCAGGTAATGAGTACATTTCTTTTTTTGGACAATGTCAACTCTTTTGATTTTCACATTTCCCCTTCCCATCCCTACCCACAAGTTACATAGGTCATTTTTCACATAGTGTATACTGAATAGCATGGTTGCATTTAAATGTATTCAGCTGCCTTCCCTCCCTTTCTGTGCCCCTTTTTGTCCCCACAAAAGAAAACTCAAGGGCTGGGAATGTGGCTGAGTGGTAGAGTACTTGCCTAGCACGCATGAAGCCCTGGGTTCAATTCCTCAGTATCACATAAACAGAAAAAGCCGGAAGTGGTGCTGTGGCTTAAATGGTAGAGTGCTAGCCTTGAGCAAAAGAAGCTCAGGGACAGTGCCCAGGCCCTGAGTTCAAGCCCTAGGACTGGCAAAAACAAAAACAAAAACAAAAAAAAACAAGAAAACTCAAAGCACAAACATCATCACCACTACCAGCAGCAATAACAACAAAACCCCACAATTCCATTTTCTGGAATTCATTTAAATAAATAGTGTTGAAAACATTCAGAAAAATTACATCTTTGGGGTTCCTCCCCTACGGGTATCCTTTTTTATCAAGAACATTTTTTATGTGTGCTGGTCCTGAGGCTTGAACTCAGAGCCCACACACTGTTCAAGAGCTCAGGGACAGTGCTCTACCACATGAGTGATAGCTCTATTTGTTTTTTTTTGGAGGCATTAATTGGAGAAAGGATCTCATGGACTTTGCTGCCCAGACCGGCTTCCAACAGTAATTCTCAGATCTCAGCCTCTTGAGTCGCTAGGATTACAAGCATGAGCCACTAGTGCCTGGTTATCATTCAAGTTTTGATGACTGAAGGAATGAATAGCTCCTTCTAAGCTAAATATTAGAGTTAGCATTTTGTTGGTTGATTTGTTGATTGATATGAGCTGTGTGCCAAGTCTAGGATATCCTCATGCTGTGTTCAGCCCTTTTCTAAGTTCTCCTCCTGTTCTCATTACTTTCTCAGAACTGGACTATCCCTGCCTCCCTCATCCTCTCATCTTCGACTCCCAGACTGTAGATGGGTAATTTATCTCACTTCCCCATTTCTTTGAGAAGCTAAAGATAAAAAGCCCATTTACTGTTCTTATATCAAAAGTGCTACTCCCAATCTCTTCGAGTTTGTAGGTGGGAAAGAACCACTCATTTAAAAAAACAACAAAGGTTCTAGGACCTTACAGAGTTTTTGTGTTTGTTTTTTCCTTCTGATACAAGCCTTGTGCTTGCTCTGCTAGCACTCTACCACATGAGCCACGGTTCCAGCTCAGCTTTTGCTATTTATTTTGAAGCTGGAGTCTGTCAGACTTACCTATCCAGACTGGCTTTGAACCTCAATCCTCCAGATTTCACCCCTGTCTCCCCCCCCCCCCCCCCCCGCCATACTTAAAATTACAGGGCTAAGCCATCAGTGCTAGTTATCTTTATTCTAGACCAGTGCTGGCAAATAATTCTTTCTGGACTGGCACCATTCGAGATAGTAACCACTAAACACATGTGGCTATTGAATACTTGAAATGTGGCTAGTGTGACTAAGGAGCTGAATTTTAAATTCTTAGTTAAATTTAAATAGCCACATGTGGGAAGTAGCAACCATATTGAACAGTGTAGGACAAAACTCTCAGGAGTGGGAAGCCTGGTAGAGATAATGTCAAGGCAATCTGACTGAATGTGTGGGAGCATAGGAGGTGGTAACTGAAATCAAGGAAGGTTTTCAGGAACTGCCTCTTTAGCTGAGTTGAAAGGCTGGGAGGAACTGGCCTAATAAAGAAATGGCAACAAAGGCTAAGGAAGTATGAGAGAATTCAACAGTTACTAAGACAGTGAGAAAGGAAGGAGATCTGGAGGTGTGGCTTGGAGAGAGAGAGAAGGGGGAGGGAGGGAGGGAGGAAGGGAGGAGGAGAGGGGGAAGGGAAAGAGGAGGGGCGAAGAGAGAGGAATGAAACTGGCAGCAGGCACAGCAGACACTGAACACAAGTGTAGATACAGACAGGCTGCTTCTGTGGATCTTGTTGCTATGTAACCAACAGGTTTTTCTTACCTTGGCTTCAGTGGCAGCTAAAGTAAGACCAGATGATACACTGAGCTTCTATAGTGTTTATTAATCAAGTCTTCATCACTGTGACAAAACAGCTTAAGGAGCCTAGTACCAGTGGCTCACACCTGTAATCCTAACTATTCTGGAGGCTGAGATCTAAGGATTGCGGTTCAAAGCCAGCCTGGGCAGAAAAGTTTCTGAGACTCTATCTCCGGTTAACTGCCTTAAAAGGGCAGCAGTGGAGCTGAGGCTCAAGTGGTAGAGCAATGGCTTTGAGCACAAAAGCTCAGGGACAGTGCCCAGGCCCTGAGTTCAAGCCCCAGGACCAGCACACGCATGGGCACACACACACACACACACACATATGGGAGGGAAGATTTATTGTGGCTTATAACTTC